AAGACCTTGAAAAGGGAAGGGAGTCACCAATTTGGGGGGGAGGGAGGCTTCAAAAATTTCATGGAAAATGGGATTAAGAGATAATGGAATTTTCCCACAATCATAGACTGCTGATAAGTTTAGGGTATATAGGGGGCTCCCCATTTCTACATTTCCTATGAGGCCAAGTTTCTGGTATCTAGCTAAAACTCCTATTTACTACACAAGGATCTCTAAACAAATAATATAACTCCTTTGTAGTATGGAGCTCTTACAACAGTTAAGTGATAATTTTTAGTGCCATTTCTGTGCCATTTTATGAAATGACGTTTTGAGAAAAATTAATCTTAATGACTAGCAACTGCAACCAAGAAAACATTTCAAAACACTTAAAATTTTTAATATGGGACAATTAAAGCAACTGAATATAAATATTACATATACATTAAGGCAAAATACCAATAAAAATGTCATCAAGAACCGCTCTTTTGCACTTACAGCACAGAATTCTTCAAAGGATATTCTCCCATCTCCATCTTTATCTGCATTTATAATGGTTTTGTCTACAATTTGCTGTAACTGTGTATCCTTCAGATTGTTTCCCACCATCATCTTCAGCACCTGGAAGAGCTCCCCATTGGAGATATAGCCATCTTTGTCCATGTCGTAGATGCGGAAAGCAACTGAACGAGGAAGAGGAAGGAAAGTGATGGTGGCTACACGCTAAACACAACTGAGTCATTTCCATGAGACAGGAGCAACTGACAAACATCCAGAATAAGGATGGCCCCTTCCTACAGAAGTGGCTCTTCTGGGAAATTAACCTAATTAAGAGTATCGTCTCTGGACTCATGACTGTCTGGGCCAATTAGTGTAAACTAACACAAAAACAAATGCATGCCATCCAGCGGATTTTGACTCACAGCAATCGTGCACACCGTTCCCCTGTTTTTTGTAAATCTTCATGGGAGCAGACAGCTTCATCGTGCTCCAGAGGAGCAGCTGGTGGGTTTGTGCGGCCGACCTCGAGGTCCACACCTAACATTGCCACTAGGGTTCCTTCAGAGAGGCCTACAGGTTAAGTTATTTAACCTTGCTAAGCGCTTCAGCATCTATAAAGCGGGGACTCTAACATTTGCAACCCATTGGTTCATACAGCAAAAATCTAAGTGATAGGTAAGCTGTCAGAGAACAAATTAAAGTTGGCAGCTATATTTTATAAAATAAATTCTTCCAAGTTTATCTTTTGGCTACTGGTATAAGAAACTCACTACCACCACTAAGTCAATGCTAACGTACAGTGGCCCTGTGGGATAGAACTGCCCCTTTGGGTGTCCGAGGCGGTAAATCTTACTGAAAGCAGACAGCTGCAACTTTTTCCATGGAGTTGCAGGTTGGTTCAGTTGCTAAGCAGCCACCACATAACCACTACAGGTCACAGTAGTGTTACTCATTTGTTGTCATCGTTTACCGTTAATAACGAAAACATCATTTTTAATTATCCTCAAATAACATTTCATTATTAATGGCTTGAAATGGGTTGTAAGCAGGCCAATTTGAAACAAAGTATGGACATGTGGCATTGTACTGTAATCATATACACTTTCTTGACATTTAAATTTTTTAAAAATTTATTTTGGTACAATGTATTGTACATATTTATAACATGTAATAAATAAAAATTATCCCAAAGCCTCCATAAAAGATAGCAATTGTTGCTGCTTGTATTTCATTTATATCAAGAGTTTATCTTCACATATCCCAGGCTCAAAGGATTGTAATTGAATAATGTCTGTCTAGTTAAGAGTTTACAAGGGATCCAAATGCTCACTACAATACAGGGTCCTAAGGAAACAAGTACAGGACTTCTGACGAAAGGTAATGTGTATGGTACTGTAGAGTAACCACATTAGAACATTTCTCCCTTGCATAAAAAATTTTCTTAGAGAAGTCATATATGCACTACATGCATCTATTTTCAATAGAAAATGTATTTTCCTTCTAAATGCAAAACATTGAAATTATTATTTGCAAGTGTCCTAACAGTATTTTCACCAAAAATATAAAATTAGTATTAGTGGAATGAAAAAAAACTGTTAGACTATTTTAAAAGATAATATTGCAGCATGGAGTGGGGGTAGTTTAAGAAGAAAAATGAATGTAGTGAAGAAATTTACTTACACCTCAATTTCTGCTCCTTGTCTCCTTTGACACTGAACTGAGAGACGCCCTCAATAAATTCTGGATAAGAGTAGAAAATATTTACAAATCACAAGTTTGGATGTTTGACCAAAAAAAACAAACAAACCCCAAAACATATTTCCATACTCACAAAAGGAAACTTTGCTACTGTAAGCGAAAAATACTACTAGCGATGTTTAAAATGGAAAATGTCAAGTTTTTAATAAACAAGGTATTTGTACTTTGGGCTAATGTAAAGTCACTTTGAACAAATTGTTTATTATGAGCAACAGTACCTAACACAAACAAAAAACAAACAAAAACCCCGCATTTTAAATTTCTGGTTCAAAATACTCTGAGTCATTTAAATAAACTGTTGTGTCATAACAAATGGTCGTTTTTCCTCATGGTTAAACACTAAAATCATACTCCTCTTCACTAAAATTTTGTTTTCCAAAATAAAATGACAAAACCAGAAGTGAGATAAAACATTTACTTTAAACATAAACTCAAAAATAAAATTACATATGTTCTTTTTGGAAAGCGCATTATCCTGTCTTTGTTAAATCCAGATTAAAACCGATTAAATCCTGTCCTGTGAGAATACATATTCCTCCTACTACAGGTTTTTTAAATGGCTGATTTAAAAAATTTAGATTTAGAAAATTTTCTAAAAAGCACAACTTCAAACATTATGAGTTTTCATAAAATGAAATTAATTTACAAAAGCCAAGGCAATACCAACTCCCTTTCTGATTAGATTTGTTTTCAAGAACAACCTGATCATTTATGACTTAGCTCCTTAGGATTCCCATCCTGGAGGTCTGAAGTTGACTAACAATTATTACTAGACCACCAAGAACATAAAGACATTCAAGAAAAACAAAAATTTTCAGGTATTTCTATAGAGATAAAAAAATCACCCATAGGTTTTTTGTGTTTGGGGAAAAAATTTTTTTTAAATCACGTTCTTACCTTTAAAGTCTACTTCTCCATTCCCATCTGTGTCAAATATATCTATTACTCGCTGAACCAAAGGATTCTGTTGTAATTCCGGCAAGGACATGAACTCCTCCACACTCAAAGAACCAGAATTGTCCAAATCGAGCTTCTTAAATCTCTTCCCTAGCCTTTTGATCTCATCAGCATCAACTACAAACAAAAAAAAGGTGACAAGATTAACAAAATGATTTTATGATGATTATGATAAAGAGGGGAAAAAACAAACAGCCCTTATCCAGTATAAATTTCTTACTTGGTTAAAAGTTATATATACTGTTGACTAATATCTAACCACCAGAGTAAACGTATCGTACATATTTAATTCTGTTACCTTTTAGTGTATTTGCACCTGCCATAACATGCACTCACAATGCTGAGCTCACCAAGACAAGGCAGGACTGACGACGATGCTAAGCTGATCATGGAGGTCACGTGGATCCCTAGTAGACGGGCTAAATCGATCTCTGTACTGTGTAAAAGAACTTTCTTGCTACTTAAAAAGAACAACCTTTAATATACTTTATTTTGAAATAGCCCATGATTCAGTTTGAGAGTGGTGTGACTGTTGTACTACAAGTGGCATGAATGGTATTCTCCTATCCCATCTCCGGACATCTACTTCGAGTTCCTTGAATGTTCTCCCAGAGATAATTGTTGCATGTATGCCTAGGTACACCTTTTACCTTTTATAAGCAAACAAATTCACTTTTCCATGTCTGTGGCAGGAGGGAAGATAACTAAAAACCTAACACGAAATATTTACATAACTTGCAAGAACGTCCCTATCAAATCTCTTACCACAAGTGTTCTTGAAAAAGATACTTTTCTAAAAGCATTTCTCCTAAATCATATCACTTTCTCCAGCCTGAATGATATCATCAGCCTAATTCACATATACACTTTTATTATTGCTTAATAGAAATACAAATATAAAAAGGGATGGATGAAATATAATTGGAGACCATCAACTTTTCAAAATAAAATTAAGTTAAAAATTTTATTCTATCCATGAATATGTTATATATTATGGACCACAATATTAGAGACTGAGATTGCAAAGTGTTTTGACAAGTTGGTTATTCTCAATGTAAGAATCAGAAGATTAAGGTATATGCTTTTCAGATATAAAAATAGTAACTAAAATTGAGTAAGAGCTGTTAACAGATACATGATGTTGCTGTAATATGAATTAGATCACATTCATCCTAATAACCAAGAATATGATAGGAACAGAGCATAAACATTTCACTGACTCATAATGGGGATTTTCCCCAATGTTCTGAAGGCATAAGAAGCCAGTTTTCTCAAATGTTAAAGAGAACTTCTCCATCGTATGCACAGGCTCTGAAGACCTTAAGGGGAAAGATGAAACAAAGGTATATTCTTCTTCAGAAATGGTCAAATTTGAAGGCTTCAAAAACTGCTAAACACGAGATGAGAAAGTTGCAAAGACAATCCGAGTTTTATCACTGACAACCCCCAGTCCTACAAAGAACAAGTAATAAAGGCAGCTAAGCCTGGGGCAGGGTGGTAGTGGTGGTTATATGTAGAGCATTGCTCTCCCTCCTCTCCCCACCTTCTCCTGCCCTCCTGGTGTCACTACTCCCCTTCTTGTTCCTGGATTCCGTGTGTCGTGAGCTCTTAGCTTTACCTGTGCACATGCTCCAGTCTAGCCCGCAGTGAAAGACAGGAGCAGGGTCATGATAGTGAGGGGGTACATACAAGGGTAGTCCCAAAAAAAACACGGAATTTTTTTCAGAGTTTTTTTTTTTTTTTAACAAAACAACCTTATCACTTTCAATGTACCCTCTATTACATTTAATATATTTGTCAAAGCTGCAATTCAATTCTTGAAAACATTTTTCAAACTCATCTGTTTGGATGGGTGACAGCACCTCCCTCAGGTTTTTCTTCACCTTTCCATGTCTCTCTGCACTCTCAGGAACAAAACATAAGACACACGGAGCAGGGTCAGGCGAGTGAGCCGTGTGGGGCAAGAAAGGCATGCTGTTTTTTGCCCAAAACTGGCCCCAGCACTGAAATGGCTGCGTCAGCAGGTGTTGTCTTGGTGGCAAAACCAGTCCTCGCTCTGCCACAAATCCAGGCTTTTTTGTTGCACCGGAATGCAATCTTTTCGTAACCTCTAAATAGAAAGCTTGATGAACAGTCTGACCTGGTAGAACAAACTCCAAATGCACTATCCCCCTCACATCAAAATAAACAAATGAGCATCGTCTGAATCTTTGATGTCATTTTCCAATCTTTTTTGGGGTGAGGTGACAATGATGTCTTCCACTGGCTTGGTTGATGTTTGGTTCGTAAGAATAGTACCATGTCTTGTCACCAGTAATGACCTTGGAAAAAAAGACTGGGTCACTTTGGAAGTGTTCCTTCAAAGCATGGCATGTTTCCACTCTACACTCTTTTTCCTGGTCAGTCAGAACCCAAGCACAAATTTCACAGCGACCCTTCCATTCTCAAATCTTCGGTTAAAATTCACTGAACCGAGATAACTCCCCCATCTCTTCAATGATCTGTCCTAGGTCTTAGAGCACAACGGATTTTGTCAACATTTTCGTCCATTCAGGATGGATGTCCAGAATGAGGTTTGTCATCAAACATTTCACCTTTTTGAAAACAAAAAAACCACTCGTACCTTTGAGTTTTTCCAATAGCGCTGTCCTTGTAAGCTGTGCTCAACATCACAACAGTTTTTGTGGCATTTCCCCCAAGCAGGACACAAAATTTCATAGCCATAATCTGTTCCCTTAAATCAGCCATCACAAAAAATGCGGTTCGAGCAAACTGCTTTTACCAAAAAATGCACTGCGACCACAGAGAACCTTACCATGTGACACCACTGGGTGCACTAACTAGAGCGAGTTGCTCAATCCGAAACAGGAACTACGAAAGCTGCATCCAGTGCAGCGTTCTCTGGCTTTTCTTGGGTGTCCACCTATGAGGGTGTTTCAAAGTTTGCATTAAAGTGGGAATGAAGCTATTATGGAATTTTTCTGTAAACTTGCTGCATCTGCCTATTTGTGTCTGTGTGTAGATATACACACATGTGAGGGTAAGTAAAAAAACACCATGACAAATTTACCTAAATTTTTCTTAAAACAAAATGATCAAAATGTGAAACTATTGTTTCTCCACAGATCCTCCATACACTTCTGAAGGCAATTGTTTCCATCTTGAACCCTCCCCCACCAAAGAATGCAAAACTCTGCAATACACACATCAAAATCACGGTTTCATCATACTTCAGGGGCTCAAACCCTATTTCTTTTAACCGTTCTTGAGTGTGGGAAACAAAATGGCTTGAATGAGTGAAATCAGGGCTTTAGGGTGGGTGGGTAAGATAAGTCTTCCTAAGAAAATTCTCTAAGTTCAGTTCCTTGTACTACCATTTAAGACTGAACAGGTGTACTGGCTGTGCTGGAAAACTCCTTGGCACAACTTTCCTGGTCTTTTTCTCACTGATGTAGTTTTCCATTTTCTGGAAACTACTTCTTAAGGTCCCTGTGTCAGCCTGTGTATTTCAAGAAAATCTATTAAAATTCCCCTTTGAAATCTACCCCACACTACCCCCTGCCGCCATCCCACCCCCTGGAAACAGCCACCATAACCTTCTGAAGTGGCAAAGCAGATCCCCTCAAAAGCTACTGTTTGGGTTGAGACTAAGGTGTTGCTGTCACGTAACTGTTGGGCTGCTAACCACAAGGTCAGTGGTTCAGATCCACCAGCTGCTCTGCAGGAGGAAAATGAGGCTATCTGCTCCTGGTCAGATTTACAGCCTTGGAAACTACAGAGAGCCCCTATGAGCTGGGATTGACTTGAGAACAGCGAGTCAGGAAGGAGAATACAGCTCAGTATTACTGGGAGAGCCATCCAGTAATCCTGGGGGCATGTTTGAATGTTTTGTTTGCAATCAACCTCTGCATGTATGAACTGAAACCATCGTAGCAATTTTTTTTTACATACCCTATAATAACACCATCAAAAATTCAAATAGAGACTTCATGAACATTATCTATGGCATAAAACATTTTCCCTACTTTTTAATGGTATTGGTGATTTGTTTTTAGGGGGAAGGAATTGTTCAAATAAATCCTATTTTCCCAAAGATTTCCCATCCTCACACTCTTGTGGGAGAATAAAGAAACTTAAGCACATCTTACAAATGTTTACACTTACCTATAATGTATCCTCCATTCCGGGCAAAGCCCATGACTTTTTCATTGGTTTTCTAAACCTTGAACTGAACAGGTGCTCAATTACTGTTACAACTTGAGTATTCAAAGTTTCAGATTTGAAACTTACTGCTCAAAATACCTTCAAGTACCTAAAGTAATAAGATTCTACTTCTGTAATCACATAGCAGTCTGCAATCCACTCAAAACAATTTCTGAATGTTAGCAGATTTTATGTAAGAAACAGACACTGTTCTCCATCCCTGCCTTATAAACTAAGGATTCGCTTACTATTTTCTTTGAGCAATCTTTAGTTTTGTCAAAGTATGCAGTCACAAACCGGACAAGGCGATGGGGGAGCCTTAAACAAAGCAACAGATTAGGAGTGGAAAAGAAAAGATAACTTCTCCACAAACAGTACATGGATCAATCTGAATCAGCTCATATAGAGCATATCACTAATCAAAGACGAAGGCAAAATGAAGTGCCAAATATTTATTTATAATTAAATAAATACTTATAATGGGACATGTTTATAAAATTGAAATTAAGGTAATGAATACTAGAATACCGTAGAATATTAAGTGAACCATAAGATAACTATATTTCGTTAAGAATGCCAACAATCTTTCTAAAATGCCAATTTTGCTGAATTGCTAGCCTTTTGGATTAGGAAATTTCCAGTGGCTTCCTAATGCAAACAAGGACTAAATAGTCTTAAGGCTTTGATAATATTTAATCCCAATTTAAATCTCAATCTTGTCTATATCCTATTTCCTTTACTATAGCGACAATGTTTTCGATACAATTCTGCATCCACATTCAATTTTATGTCTACATTTCCTTACAAACCCTCTGTTTGAAATGCCTTTCTGTTGAGCTCTCCCTTTATACACTTCTATAACTTTTTCTCTGAATAAACTCAGCAGGAGAAATTAGGCCCTTTCCCTGGTGACA